ATAAACAGAAGGAAAACATACAAGATCACCGAACATTAATGGCAACTAGCAACAAGCTAATACTTCCCCATATGCCTTGAGGCATAATAACTTAAAAATCTTAGTAGGTTTTTCAGCTTTTGCTTAGATTTAGATATCTGGATTCCTGTATATTATGGGCTGTTACTTAAAGTTTTGGATCCCTTCTGAACTGTGAAAGGCATTCTTGCTAAACACTATGTCTATAGTTCAAGGATGGATTTAAACCTCTTTGGTTATTGACTTCTAGATGTTACCCTAAGTGTGAATTATTTTGTAGTATGTAATATAGGCTGGTGAATTACTACTGAATTAGAAGACTTCACAACTTGTTGGCCTAGTACTAATACTGGAGCTTTAATTTGTTAGACTATCTTTGTGTTAAGTACTATGGATGTTTCAGAAGGTAATACTCAGAATTTAGACCATGCATTTTCTCATTTAGCAGCTTGCAGAAAACATTTATCTGTGTGAAAAATGGGTAAGCTTAAGAAAATGCAGTTGCTTCTATAACAATGAGATTCCATAGAAATTTGTTTTACATTAATTTTCTAAGGTACCTATAGTAGAAAGACACTTTGCCAAAACTATTAAGAATGAGAATTGCAGGGTTGGTTTAAAATCCAATCCAAATTCTATTTCATTCTGTGTAACATTTCCATTAAATCTGATTAATGTCCAGGAATAAAATCCAAGATTTCTTTTTCAATCTCTTTGTGAGTTGTTCTAGTAAACAAGGCACGTGTATACTTTTGTGTTGTCTTTTAAAGCCACTAATCCACTGGACTGATTACTGCATTGTGTTATCTTTATAATTTAGATGTACCCTGCTCAGGAACAGAAAGGTTAAAGAAAGTGAATGAAAGTTTTCAAATCTTTTAAACTAATGACCTAATAGTTATTTTACATCATTTTGTGATCCCTTTATTAAATAGACTGTTATCAAGAAAGAAAGTGTATGTGTACTGATGTGAAGAATCAGATTAATTTATGCAATACATGAAACAAACAAGTGCTTTTCTACATTTTTTTCCTAGCCTGTGTTTTGTTCTTTCTTAGCAAAACCAGGAAGAGAGATATTACTTTTTTTTTTTTTTTTTTTTGCTGATTTTTGACTTAGGAGTATACAAATCATAATTTTAAGTGTAGCCAAAGAAAAAATAAAGTTGACATGTCACCCATGGTAAACACTAGACATTATTCACAGTAGTGCTGCAGAAGGTATCTGTAGGACATTGTGTAGCAGTTACTACGAAGATCTCATAAAGGATGGAAGTAAGACGCAGTGAGCCTGGATATTAAAAAATCATTTAATAACAAAAAGAACTTCTCTGGCTCATCTTGGTTATATTTAAAATGTCTTTTATATGTATTGGATTTATACTGATTGAAAACTCACCACTTCTTTTATTTGGCTGAATAATTAAGACTGATGCTGTTAGTGTGGGCCCATAGGCTTAGAAGACAGAGAAACACATTGTTAAATCTCTGATTTGCTTGCAGTAGGAACCAGCATAACTTGATTTGTCACTGAAGTCTCTGAAAGTGTTGTAAATTACATAGATTGCCATTGTAAGGTGTTCACAGGAGCTGTTCCATATTGAAAGTAAACATAGGTCTGCTTTGCTCTCTTCCATTCTTTGAGCTGTCTGAGAGCAAAACAAAATCTCTGGAACAGCTTTGGCAGTTATAAAGTAGAAAATGTTCCAGTAGGAAAACATGATTAACTAATTTTGTAAGAAATCTTAAAATTACAATTCAACAGCATGATGTGGAATCATAAACACAAGTGGTCAGTATTATCATATGCTGTTTAGAAAAGCACAAATAGTCAATAAATCATGTAGTTGATTATTGTACTCATTCATCTGTGGATTGCTGGGGCACTAACAATGTCGTTCAATCTTGAAGGTTTGTTATTGTTTAGACCGCATTGTAAAATCTGTGGATTAGCCATGTGCAGCATGATTTATTCTTTCATCCAGCATTTGTGCTCTTGGTAATAGGATACTGCAGCCATGGAATGTAACAGACATTTTAGATCACATACTTTATAGTTTTCATCTAGGAAAAAGTATTAATAAAAAAATTGAGAAAGGTCATAAAAACCTTATTCATGTCATTCTAAAGAAATTATTAGAACATCATTATTTTACTAACATTACTTACTTTAACAAATTTCATCTGGAGCATTGGCAAAATTTGTGCAAAAGACTGAATCTACAGTTACAAAAATAACCATTTTCTTAGGAGGCTTTAATATTCTTCACACTTCATTATTTTAAGAAGAATCAATTTGACTTAATTTTTTGTCTTTGTTATTCTGATTGTTCCAAGCTTTTATATGAAGGGTTCTTGAGCCAGTGATAATTGGGTATCTAAGCCAGTTGTCTAGGCACAGCCATCTCGTACCATTTTAAATGCAAAGCATCCACACAAAGCCTGCAGATGTGACACAGGACCTGCAGGGTACCCATGTCCTTCCAGACAGGCAGATGAACAGCATCTGCCATTGAAAACACACTTAAACAACTAAATAAAGCCTCCATAGTAGGACTGTACTTCCTTGGCATTCCTTCTTCCCTCCAATAAAAATGAGTCATAATGTACTGTAGGATATTTAAGGCTGTAATTTAGCTGTCCATGTATATGTGCCTCCATGTGAGCTACGGGTCCAAACTGCCTTTATAGCTGGTGGAGATTCATTTGCCTTAAAGGGAGCATCTTGTTCAATCTGATATGCCCTATCTGATATTTTGTCTCAGTCTACTCCCCCAGAAAGACACGGGGTGCAGTGCAGGTGTCTAGGTACGATCTGACATGAGGGCCTGAGGTTCAGAAAAGTCACAGAGCTGGTGGTGATGCAGGCAGCTATTACAGAGCCACTCAGCTGGCACTTCTGCCTGTCTGCTCATGGGATAAACTGAAGAGGCTTTGCTGTATCGAATAGGTCTCCATTGGTGGGAGCCTGGCTCCATGAAGGCTCCTGACTTTAGGAGTCTGACTTTTGAAACAAAACAAACCCTTTGCTGAATCACTGTGATATTTGGCACATATGAATAATTATAGTGAAATTCACTTTAGGAGAGATGCATGTAAGTATATGCCATAGTAGTGAAACAAAAAAGACACATGGGATGCACTTTCCTACTCTTTACTGTGGGCAGTCAACACTTTTTTCTTACTTACGGTAATGTTAGAGGAGTGGTAAAGAGAGAGTTAGCAAAATCAGTCTTAAGGAAATATGAAACTAAGTTAATAGTAGATAGCAGAGGAATAGAGATAATGGCTGATTGATAAGCATGTTTCTCATTTTTATTGCAGAAAACAAAGAATGCCTAGAAAGTATAAGGAGATTAGCTTAAATGTCTTCTCAGTGAACTTTTCACAAAGCGTGCAATTTCAAAACCACTGAAGCCAGTGAGAATCATTTCACTGATATGAACAAGCTTTTTATCAGAATTTTTTCTTATGCATAGATATATTTTAAAGATGTGATAGCCAGTCTTGGTTATTATATTGAAATTATTCTCAGATTTCTACTATTTCTTTCAGTCCGTGACTTAACATCAAACTTCAGATTGCTTCAGTAATTGCCAGACATAGTATAACACTATTTGATTCTGCCTATTTTTAACATCACTCTTTGGACAATATTAACTGTACTTCATATTTTTCTCACTCTATTTCAATAGAGTGGCATTAAAAAAATAAATGTGAAAAAATAAATGCATGTAAAGCTTGAATGAATAAAAGAAAGTTACTGAGTCATAGCCATCCAGTGGATAAAATGGGTTAATACTTGTAATACGTGTTTCTATGTATTTTTGTTCTCAACTCTAAGGTGAGTTTCCTTTTGACCTTTATAGCTTCTTTGCCTTCCCCTGAAGTGCAAGCTTCTCAGGCAGATCTAGGAAATTTCTCAGTGCAAACACTCTTTTTTTTCTGGTGTGAAACCCAGCCTTTTTCCTTACCTGCAAATTCCAGAATCCCAGAATTGTCTAGGTTGGAAAAGACCTTGAAGATCATCCAGTCCCACCATTAACCTAACACTGACAGTTCCCAACTACACCAGATCCATCAGAGCTATGTTGACTCTACTCTTGAATGCCTCCAGGGGTGGGGACTCCACCACCTCCCTGGGCAGCCCATTCCAACCACTAACAACCTGTTCTGTAAGTCAAGGCAGGAGAGAATACTTCTCTAGTATTCTTTAACTGTTTTATTAAAAACTACTCAGTGTACTTAATGATTGCCACCTAATACATGAAATTAAGTCTATCCATTTGGGCTTTGCCAGTTATGCAGATCTTGAGGCTTAGAGAGGGTGTATCCATCACAGTGTCCAAGGAGAGCAGTTCTGCATGTTCTAGCACTTTGCTTGACCATAGCAATTCCCAGACCAAACAGCATTGTTTAAAAGCACGTTCTCATGTGTGTTTGGTACATCTCCTTCCTTTGGAGACAAGAAGACAAAACTGATCTTTTAAAAGTTAAGTTTTAATAGAATGGAAAAGTTGTTTAAATTGTTTAATTTTACTTTTGCCCATCCATTTAGGATGGTAAGAGTAATGACCTGGAGTGACTGAGAGCGTTTAACTTTCTATTGCAACTTTCAGAATGAGTTGTGAGATTATAGAGTTTATGTGTGTCTATGCATAGACACAAACACTAGGGTTTTGTTGTATTTTGTAACTTAATAACTCAGTTTATAATCTATTTCCTTTTATATATTTTTAGACTGTGTTTAATGTATCCTGCCAAGAAAATATATGGATTATTAATTGTAACATTACTTGTAAAGTGTTTACCTGTATACAAAAGACAGTTGTCAGTTTGTGAGGAGTTTTTCTTTTAATAAATTCTAATGCAAAAATGCCTTTGGGATAAATGTAAGGTATAGTGATAGTAATTGTTTTAAGTCCTTACTCTAATTTCTTATTTTTAAACCTTAAAAATAATGAACTTTTTATTTATTACAGAAACCTTTGAAATGCTTATCAGACTGGCTGAGAATTACACAAGCACCCTTTTCTGCAATGCATATCGAAACATGGCTGCTGAGGCTACTACACGTGTTCAGGAGTTTTTCACAGATGTTGGACTCTTCATATTTGGTGCAGACATTAGCACAGAGGAATCTGTCAACAGATTTTTTGACACCCTTTTCCCAGTAGTCTACAATCACGTGATTAATCCTGGTCTGACTGACATTTCACTGGAATATGCGGAATGCCTCCAAATGGTGAGAAGAGACATCAGGCCCTTTGGTAACATTCCCAGAAAGGCCATAGGACAAATGGGAAGAACACTGTTACCCAGCCGGACTTTCTTGCAGGCTCTGAATTTGGGGATTGAAGTGATCAATACAACAGATCATCTGCATTTCTCTAAAGACTGCAGCAGAGCATTACTGAGAATGCAGTACTGCCCCCATTGCCAGGGGCTGACTTTAAGTAAGCCCTGTATGGGCTACTGCCTCAACGTTATCCGAGGCTGCTTAGCTAACGTGGCAGAAGTGGATCTTCACTGGCGGGGATATATACAGTCCTTGGAGGAGCTCTCAAGTGCCATGAGCGGAACATATGACATTGAGCACGTGCTTCTAAACTTTCATTCACTTGTTGATGATGCTCTCGTACAGGCTCGTATCAATGGGCCAGAGTTATCTGAGCAGGTAAGAAGCTGTTTTTATCCATGCTAGGTGCAAATGTGACACTAAGAAAAGTAACACTAGTAACTGCTACTTGTTTGGCCATTTTTATGGTGATGAACACATTTGTATCTGAGTTCAGCTTTATTTGACAATGCATTTTTCCAGCACTGCCAGTTTTTATTTTAATCATGCACATGACCTGCTAATTTCCCATATTCTATTCACAAGTTCAGCATTGTGTGGAATTCATCTTTTCTCATTTCCCATGAACCCATAGCTCTTTTCAAGATTTTACTGAGAGAAAATTTTTGTGACACAATACAGTGGAAACTTCATTCCTTTCACCCTCTTTATTTAGAAGTTAATGTTTTCAGAAGACGCACTGGTTTAGGTTAAATGCTTTAGATTTAACTTTACAACTGCATCTTTTAAATTCTGCTGAACAAGGGTGAATAGTGGAATGTGTCATTAAGCTTGGAAGCTTAAAATATTAACGAGAGAAGAGTAGATTATCTGTGGGAAAAGTAATTTCACAAATATTCTATAAAAATATTAATACAGTGACATTTGTGTAAATGAGAGTGATAAATCTTAGCAATAGTATTTGCTTGCAGATTGGAAACTTTTTTGTACAACATACTAAGAACAGTTCTTAGGAGCACAGAAAAATTTTTTTCATGAACATAAGAAAATTGTTTAATTACTTCATTGTTCTCTTATGTGCACATAATGATAAATTTAAACAGTCCTTCTCGATACTGGTGGCCTGTCAAAGTACCTATGACTTTGCATATATTATTTGCATAATTTTGTAGGTTTCAGAGAAAGTGGCACAGTTCCTTTGTGGCATGAACTAAGTCCTTCTTTATATATACCTAAGAGGAAAAAGCAAGTTATGTGAGAGTTATGTTTGCTGTGAATGCATGAAGTGGGAAATTTTAAGATAGTGTTAGGGAAAATGCATTGTTAATTAGCTACACATTAGAAAGAAAGCTAGTATATCTGTAACTTTATGAAGGTTATGTAAGCAGCAAAATTTGAATTAATCCTGTGTTATATTTAATCCACAAAACATTTTATAATTGCATTTTTCTCTGTATTTATTCATACAGACTTCACTGATAGTGATATATTCTGCACTTAATGCTGGATTGGGTATCTTGATCCGGGGAGATATGCCTTCTTTTAACAGTGTACACAGGTATAAACGGTGTCTGGGTGTCACTGTGATGTGGCATCAGATGAGGTGCAGTAATACTTCTAGGACTGCCACAGCGTGCCTCTTTACTTGACTAACTGAAGTTGCAGCATCTTCTAAGCAGCTGATATGACCTCTCACAATAAACAACTTGACCTAATACAATAAATAGAGGATACTTCATTTCTCACTAAGGCCCACAGTCTACTAAAATAGGTTCTTCATCCTCTTTGTAGTCAGCAACAGGGAAATTGCCCATTTTTATGCATTTCCCATTTTATCTGCTTTATACCAGCCAGCTACATTAGCCAGAATCTCCTGCTGCTGAACTTCTTGAGAATAACTGATTTTTTTTTTTTTAAAAAGGTTTTTCACTAATGACAGTTGGGCTCAAAAGTGGCTCACTCATTTCTGTCTAATTCCTATTATGTTTCCAGAGCTACAGTTGCCTTTTATGGATATTCCCTGTTCCTCCTCAGATTTTTGGGGGATCTTTTTTAGCTACAATTTTCAGGAACAAGCTAGGATAAGAAAGTAAAGACTCAGGGGAAGGAGTTTTATTTCCTGTTTCATCGAGGGTCATTTAGTTTGAGAAGTTTTACGCTTGGACGGTGAACCTCCATTGGCCAAGATTTAAAAGTCTCTCAACACAGTCATATTTTTAAAATGAAAAAGTTTTTACTTTCCAGAATAATATATTTCACTCAATTTGAATTAAAAAAAAATACAAATAGGTGAAGAGCCCTCCACCCAGTGTTTTGGCTTAATGAATATTTCATATTGATCCAAAATAAAATGCTTTGATATTCCTGAAAAATCAGTGCCTTCCTTCTGCCCTCCCCTCATATGATGTAAGGAACACTAAAATGTCTTATGCAACGATATTTTGTGCTGAAGTGTTTGTTTGAAGATCAAGTGTTTACTTTTGTAAAGATCTGCTCATACAGAATGGCACCCAAACTTTAGAAACGAAATATTTCATTTTTCACTCAATCTGCATCTGACCTATGCATTTAGATGTATCTTTCATTTAATCTCTATAATTCTTTCTCTCCTTAATCTATAGTTTGACTATAAGACTATGATGCATTGATCCCTTGAAACATGGTGATCTAGTCAGTCAGTTCTCATTTGCTGAGTACGGCTTGAGAATATTTAATTATTTGCCCATACATTAGGTATCACCTAATACTGACATGTAATAAATACAGTCTTTCAGCTTTAAGAGGCAGATGACATGAATTCTGTTGAAATTGGCTCATTAATATTTATTTATTTTATCTTCATAGTGACTCATGAACTGTTTCAAATTTTGATAAGCAATTAATGCATCAGTAATTCTAACAGACACAGAAAAGATGATTATGAGCCAGCAAATAATGGCTCGCTTAGGCACACAGTAGTCTCTGCAGTTTTAAAAGTGATTTTCATCACAGTAAGTACTTTTATGAGTTTTAAAGAAGAAGACAGAGAAAAAAATCTTTAAGTGTCTGGAGGTATGATATACACATATAGAAATATCAATATGAGAATCAACCGAGTATCCTTCTTAGTGATACATGTATTTGTACAGCTCTGTCTAATCGTGTATATTTGTGTAAATTTGTGTAAAAAAAAAAAAGAAAGTAATTTTTTCCTAACATATTGCATGGATGTATTTAAATATAATGTATATTCATACTTAAAGCTCTTCGTAGTGTGGAAAGACAACTCGTGCCTATATAACATGGCATCCTTTTACAGAACTTTCTTCTGGTATTTACAACTTGTTCCCTTTTCTGTTTGGGTCAGCAAAGCAGTGCCACTCTGTCTGCAGCTGGAATTTCTTTCCCTTTGTTCTTCCTGTTTCAAACTCACACCTTTAATTCCTGCCTCCCATAGCTCTGCTGACTGACCAATAAGTGCAGCACCTGTTCATCATCTCTCTACCTGGACATTATTCTGCACTATTCTGCAGAATGTAGTGGAAATGTGTGGGTTGTGGAACTATTCACATATTTATATATTTCACGTATTTATACACAGAGATATATTTATTACAGTTCTGTTCTGTGTTCCTGAAGTCTATATATGTCCATATATGTACCATTTATGCTCAGTGCATAGTGGATCCTATGTTTTTTAGCTGGTAGGAGTTGGAACAGAATTTTTTTAGCAGACTCCTGTGTGTATGCTTATGCAGATATAATGTAATAGAGGTTTAAGAGAGCTGCATGATAGAAAATAAGAACAGTATTCATTATGAAGATAATCTGAGAAAGATTCTTAAGCATTGGATCACAGGTAAAAATGCTTATTGCTTCAGAGGACCTTGTAGATTCATCCTGTGTTTGTCTTTGTGCTCAGCTTGAGTTGTCATGTGCCGGTCTCTGAGCTTGAGTATTGCTCGGGAAATCCCTACTGAGGGCAACTATGCAGGCTAATGAATGCACAAGCCCTTTTTAACACATTTAAGCCTTATTTAAGGAAAAACAAACAAACAAACCCCCCATGGAAACTTGTTTACAAGTTTTAAAGAATTGTTTTGTGTTACCTCCATTCTGTTATGCTACCCACTGTCATCATTACAACAGAAGGACAAAGAGAGATTTTAGACAGATTTTACAGTTTTGTGTGGATGGAGTGTACTGTCCCCAGCATAAGAGTGTGTTTTCATTCCCTTTACGTACAGGTTAATGGCACAGCCCCATGCCATGGAAGGGTTCACTGTGGCAGCTTAAGCTACTCTCACACTGGGTTGCCCAAGTCCTTCTGTGGCACCATCCTCAGCTGTGTGTTTCCACCGCTTTCCCTGTGTGCATGCTGCTTTGGCAGCTGAAAGTGTAGCTGGTTGAGGGAGCTGTCTGTAAGAGAGAGTCTCTCTTAGCCATGGTCTTTTTTTGGTGTGTGAAGACTTGTGCTGTCATGTGTTGGGTAACCCAGCAGCTGAGAGCTCCATCAGAGTGGAACAAACTGAGGACATGAGAGGAAGTGGAATGGGTCTGAGGTAAGAGGTGAAGGAAGAGGGGAAAGGAACAGGAGAGGAGAGAAAGAGAAAAGTCACAAGGCTTTTTAATCAAATCTTTCCTCAAAACTTTACATTGAACTATTGAGATCCCCTCATCTAGATCATCAATAAAGATGTTAAACAGGAGTGGCCCCAAAACTGAGCCCTGGGGGACACCACTTGTGACTGGACACCAGCTGGATTTAACTCCGTTCACCACAACTCTCTGGGCCCGGCCATCCAGACGGTTTTTTACCCAGCAAAGCGTGTGCCCATCCAAGCCTCGAGCAGCCATTTTCTCCAGGAGAATGCTGTGGGAAAAGGTGTCAAAGGCCTTGCTAAAGTCAAGGTAAACAACATCCACAGCCTTTCCCTCATCCAATAAGCAGGTCGCCCTGTTGTAGAAGGAGATCAGGTTTGTCAGGCAGGACCTGCCTTTCATAAACCCATGCTGACTGGGACTGAGCATCCGGTTGTCCCACATGTGTTGTGTGATGGTACTCAGGATGAGCTGCTCCATCAGCTTCCTGGTCACCGAAGTCAACCTGACAGGCCTGTAATTTCCTGGATCATCCTTCCAACCCTTCTTATATATGGGCGTCACTTTGGCCAACTACTCATCTGTTGGGACCTCCCTGGTCAGCCAGGACTGCTGGTAAATGATGGAAAGCAGCTTGGTGAGCACCCCAGCCAGCTCCTTCAGCACTCTCGGGTGTATCCAATCTGGTCCCATAGACCTGTGTGTGTCTGTGTGATGCAGCAGGTCACTGACTGTCTCCTGCTGGACTGTGGCGGAGTTGTTCTCCCAGTCTCTGTCTTCTTGCTGAGGAGGCTGGA